TTATAATTTTTTCATACTGCAAAGTATTGTACCTGTGATCACTGGATCTTGGGTGCAATGCCATGCTCTTACAGACACTCAGCACAGTATGGACAGACAGTTATTGAAGTGCAGTAAATATCAATGAATTACACCAGCTCTGACTTCTCACCAGTACCCTCACAGTTCATTGAGAACTACGTCATCTGTCTTGGTGGCAGATGGGACTTGTAGTTAATTAATTCACAGATCACTGGGAATAAATGATGCAGCTGTGTGGGTGGAGCTCCACTGTTTTTAGATTGAGACAGCGGGTGTAGGGAGAATATCCCCCACCTGCTGTCATGGGGAGATTTCAGGGGGTGCAGGCAGGTGCTTTATAGTAACATGTTACATGTTGCACCTTAAATACAGGAGTAACATGTTACAAATTGTGAACTTCTCCTTCAAAGAGAACCTGTCACATTGTCCATTTAGGAAAAAATTGACAAGTTCCCTTATTCCAGAACTTTCCCACCCACTGATACTCTTCTTTGATGTGCACCTACACTCCTCTGTTTGCCTGCAGGAGCAGTGAGTCTAAACCCTGTGCAAAGCCTGCCATAGATGGAGCAACTTTCTTTCCTGAAACCATGGGTTGCAGGAAAGAAAATCACTTGATTACTATAATATCTATTAGCAATTATTGCATGTAAAATCTGATAGGCTGATCGTACCCATGTTGATCAATCCATCAACTTGATTACATTCAGCCTGCCCATACATGGTACGAATCTCGGCTGGTCCCAGATCAACTGGCTGAGATTCATATCATCTAAGGCCTGCTTTAGTCAGTGCCCAAGTGAAAGTGTTTGGCCTTAATGATTGGCCATTCATGTGTAAGCACTGCAACCTGGGAGACAAGTTGGAAAGACACATGCATCACAATACTCAGAAAGATAGTGGGATTTATTTACTAAAGCTGGGGAGTGCAAAATCAGGCTCACTTCTGCATAGAAACTGATCAGCTTCTAACCTGAGCTTGTTTAATTAAGCTATGGCGATAAAACCTGGAGGCTGATTGGTTTCTATGCAGAAGCGAACCTGTTTTTGCACGCGCCAGCTTTAGTAAATAAACCCCAATGTATTTGACAGTGCTCCTGCCAACAAATGGGGATGTATGGAGGCTTGCTGAGAAGCACAGAAAGGTTAGTGTTAAATATAACTTTGTTTATCATATTTCAGAACCTTGAAGAAATAAGCTTAAATATGTAAAAATACTTCCATTCTTACATAAAAATGGAAAATATATTTAATAACAAAATAGCAAATAATTACCAAGTAAATTCTATAATATATCAAATAATTAAGTTAAAAGATATTACATTCTTGCAAGGAAGTTCATTGTTTAAAGTTGATCTCTGGGCACAAAAAATTCATTCAAATATATTCCTCAATAGCCACAAAGCATATAAATGCACTTTGCATGCACCATACAGCCTTGTAAAAGTTGCGTAGACAGCATCACTGTGCTACACATAGCCTGTACAGAGATCAGAGCTGTAGATAGGGACCCAACAGGCTCACCCACTACAGGCTGCCTGCAGAGAACTACAGGAAAGGGGCAGATACAAGACCACTAACCTTGCACATGAAGAGGGCAGCAGTCGCTGGTCCTAATTACAGGAAGTGCTTGCACAAAGGCACAGTTTCCCACTGGAATGCTGTACAGATCTGGAAGAAATACACAAAGGACACCAAGATTCAAGTAATAATACAAGTATCCCTTATATTTACAATATATTTGTTTATCCCAGAGTTTAGTTTTAACACATGTGCTAAGCTATGTCACTAGTTTAAATCCCCTAAGTATGATTCCTGTCAAAAAAGAGCACACATATGTGTCTGTCACTGTGTGTATCTACCTGAGGCCAATAGTCCCATGCATCTGTCATGAATCAATCAAGCAGTGTTATGTTTACTAATATAGTCATATATAATGTAATGTTATTTCTAATAGTAATGCCCTAATCAAGAAATATTACAGAAGAAAGATGACATTCATAAATGATATACTTTTTAGAACCTTTACATAATTTCTATAGTCTCATGGTCTATCTTGCTTTATCTAACTTGGTTAATGAATACCATCTGTAAGCCTTGATTGTAATTTTTAAACATAACAAAAAAGCTTTCTAGACGTAACCAAAATCATAGAATCTATAGCATCTGCTTGATTACACTCCCAAACTGGATAAATACAAATGTAGCAAATCAATTTGTCTTAGGGTCCTTCTTATCCTTACATAATCCCTATAGAATTTATGCCCTGTAATCATCATTAGTATTATTAGCAAGTATTCTAGGCTGTGGCAGTCAAGCAGTGCCCACCAGAGTGCAATATACAGAGAACAAACCCCTTACAAGAGCATGTATCTATCGACTACTTTACCCAATACCAAAGTATTGCCTATCAGATGTTCATTTTAAGCCTTTCTGTTTGTTCTTTTAACCTCCCTAGTGGTATTTCCGAGTGTAGCTTGGGGTACACTTTCAGTACCAAAAGCAGTAACCCCGAGCTACACTCGGGAATACCCTGCAGCGTTGCTCCGGGATCCCTGTTTCACTTACCTTGTCCTGCGGTCCCGCGATGTCCCCCTCCAGCCGCCACGCCTCCACATGGCTCGGGCAGCGTAGCGTCACAATGTCCTGGCTTCTCCTTACGCGTTACGTGGGCACGCACTTCATCAGAGGAAGAAACCAATGAAGTGCGTGCACACGTAACGTGTAAGGAGGAGCCAGGATGTCGTGACGCTACGCTGCCCAAGCCATGTGGAGGCCCGGCGACCATCTTTGACTCTGGATGGTTAGTTCACCTCTTCAGTCCTGATATTGTTTTATCTGCTTATACATGTGTGCAAACATCGTTTTACCTAATAAATACCTAATTTGAATACTACACTATGGGCATCCTTCCCTGATTCTCTGTGATCCAGTTGCCTTACCCAGAGAAGGAAGTTACCCTGTAAGCAGGCAGCCTCTTCTGCTCATCCCTTAAAGGGACCTCTGGTTACCTGGATCCGATTAATTTGCTACCTGGGCATTTGCTGTGTCTACCACCTCTAAGGGAGGATTACCTAAACTCTGACCAGACCTATATCTGATGTGGACACCCCTGGATGTGATACTTAATGCGTATAACTAATACGCATCTGGTGAGTGTTTATTTCTGCCATTTTTCACAGAGCACCACCATCGAGTTTTTAACCAGTCACCTGGCACTTTAAAGTCTTACGGACTGTTACCTTTATTGATCTTTATTGAACTTTATCAGTAGTTTATTGTTGTAAATTTGTTACTATTTAGCGCTGCACTGTTTTATTTATTCTATTTGTAAGGTGTTATTTGGTTACCTTGAGTGCTTAGCTGCTGACTGGATAGCGCTCACTTTTACATTTTATTATCATCATGGAATGCTGTTTTCATGAAGGGGTGTAGGTGGTATGTGTCAAAGTAACATCCAGAAGTAATATCAAAGTAGCATCACACTTCCTCTGCTAGCTTGTTTTATTCTCATTGTTCATCCTGATGCCGTTTCTTCCCCAGGTAAGCAACACACACGCACACACATGACCAACCACATGATGTTAGGGCCGTTCAAACCAGAAAGTGGTGCATTAAACCAGCATTAAATGCACATTTCCCACACTGCATTTAAAATGTACAGGGTGTGTGATCTGCTGTGGGTGTCAATGTAGTTCTAACAACACTCCAAATGCAGTGCCTTTGCCTGCTACATGATATTGCAGTACTATGTGATTCGGTTGCAGTGTGCTTTTAAAAGTAGTGCATGCACTACTTTTGGTGCGCTATTGGTATGAAACAAAAAAAAGCAGCTGGCAGAACAATTAGAAGGATTGTGTACAAATTGATATAAACATATTGCCGTGCATTTATGTTTTATGTGTTATTTTTATATCAACTATTTTTGGTGTGATCTGGTGATATCTCAGCCCATTTAAATGGGCTTATACCCTTCAGACCCTGTACACTGCCCTACAAGTTAATGGCCTCTTTTCACTGCCCTACAAACCTATGACCCTAGCTTCTGCCCTGCCCTGCTGACCCCTGTAAACTGCCCTTCTGACCTTCCATTCTCTGCCCCCCTGACATTTTTTACTGCACCCCAACATTAGACAGGCTAGATCGACCCTGATCATAGGTGATTTTGGCTGTGGACACGGGTCTGCATGGGCACCTTGACCAGTCTGTGGCTACATATTCCCATGTGCAACAAACTGCAATGCCTATTTTTTTTGCTTTCAATGGATTGACATGTTTACTTGCTGCCTAATATACCTCACCCACTTTTAGATGCAATTTTAAAAAGATAATCAATGTTATTCACTTTATTGTCATGTCATCACTTATTGACTATATATGAGAATTATGTTCTCTTCCCATATATGATTTGTCAATGTTAGATATTAGCCATGGTTGTTTGTGTGCTGTTAATTATTCATTTCTCCAGTATCAGGCAGAAGCACAATACATTCAGATTTTTGTGCTTCTTGGCATCCAGACACAATTTGAATTTGACTCCACAATGCATGTTTGAGTTTAAAAAAATTAGAACTTAAGGGGCGTGGTTGGAGCGGGAGCTGAATGGCTGCATAACCTCACAGCTCTGCTGTACTCACAGTTCCAGCACACAGCAGTGGCGGACCTGACACTCCAAAAGTGATGAGAGGAGAGGCAACAGCCCGGTGACCCTCAGGGAGATGACAAAAAAGAGGAAAGCTGAGAGGAAACTCCTGAAACTAACAGAGTTTCCTCCTAGGCCGGATCACAGAAATCCCCAACATGACAGCAGCAGCTCAGTTTCCTCCTCCTCTCACTCAGCACACAGGCAAGTCTCTGCAGCTTCTTCTGTTGCACCTATTAAGCAGAAAACAACGTTATCTTAATGCAGCCTGTGTCCCCTGCTTTCTCTACTTCTTTTATTGAGAGCCCAGCAAAATCTAAACCTAGAATGACAGATAGTAGCCTCCCTGACGGTATTCCCGAGTGTAGCTCGGGTAAAGTTTCAGTACCATAAGCGGTAACCCCGAGCTACACTCGGGCTACCATGCGGCGCTGCTCTGGGATCTGTTCTTCTCTTACCTTGTCCTATGCTCCCGCAATTTCCCTCCTGCAGTGTCCCCTGTAATGTCCTCCAACGGATGCCGGCATCTGTCTTCTGGGTTCTGTCCCCTGCAACGTTGGGACGTACAGGGGACGGAACGGCGGGAAATTTGAAAATGACAAAAAGTGCCATTCACTAAATTCACTAAAATAACATAGTAAAACATTACTGTATCAAACCATTTCATGTACATTTTGTCCTTAGTGCTTTGTCCTGTGCCCTGCCTACATTTTTACTATTCTTTCTGCCTGGAAACTGAGAAACATCCATGGCATCCAAGAAGCATCCCTTTAGGTCAAAATCAGTTTTAGACCAGCTAAAGAACAGCGATAGTAAATTAGAACTACTTGCAGAGTTGAGTGATAATGATTCGTGGGGAAATTCGTCATCAGACACTGAAAACGATTTTGCGACTTTGCTCAGTGATGTGCGAACTTCACTCTATATTTCAAATTTCAGTGTTTTTGGTTTGATTATATTATTGAATTAAATTTATTATTATTATATTATTATTTTTTATGATTATTTATTAAATTATAATTTATGATTTCATGTTTCAAATTTTAACATACCCGGGATGTTTACTAGACTAGTTATTCCTAAAAATTACAGGCCTACAATAAAAAAAAATACATATTTCCATGCAAGAAAATGTACCGCTTTCAGCACAGAAATATGGACATAATCAGACTGCTAGGGAGGTTAACCCACAGCATGCTGTAACAGATTCTCACACGAATACTTCACATTCTGCAAGTACTTTCTCAGATCCAATGGCTAACTTTCCTACTACTAGCCAGCCTATTTCTGATACATTAATGAAGGAGATTCTCCTTTCATTAAGATCATCCATACAGTCAGATATTAACTCTATGCAACAAATCAAATCAGAGATTAATGATCTTGGCGACAGAGTTGACCATGTTGAAACAAAAATATAGAGAATACGCCACTTCCTTTAACACCCAAGTAGACGCCCACAACGAAAGGGATGAAGAAATTGAATGGCTCAAAAATCCAGTTGTAGATCTGGAGGATAGATCATGATGTAACAACATTAAAATAAAAGTCATTCCAGAATCTATACAACCTGACCAATTCAGAGCATATACCCAAGAGCTCTTTCGTGCCCTCCTACCTGATGCTACAAACACAGATCTGACTGTCAATAGAATACATTGCCTTTCAAAACCTTCCTATCTGCCAGATAAAATATCTCGAGATGTCTTGATGAGAATTTTTGCACAATTTTCCTCTTTACAGCTTTTCACAAATTTATCTAAGCACATCATGCAACTCAGGAAAAATCTCCTCCTAATAACAAAAGCTCTACGAAACCACAACATTATTTATCGTTGGGGTCACCCCACTAAATTGATCATCACCATAAATGGCTCAATCATCACAATCAACAGCCTAGAGGTAGGTCTGCAATGTCTTAGAGCAGGGGTGAGAAACTGGCGGCCCTCTAGCTGTTGCGAAACTACAAGTCCCATCATGCCTCTGCCTTTGGGAGTCATGCTTGTAACTGTTATTCTTGCAATTCTTCATGGGACTTGTAGTTTGGCAACAGCTGGACAGCCGCAAGTTTGACACCTGTGTCTTAGAGAAAGGTACTACCCTTACCAAACACACTACCTGTAAGTATGCCTGACAAAGGCAAGGTCATTTGTTTTGTTTTTGCCCCAAAAGTACTACGCAATTTTCATTGCGTTCGGATCTTTGCTAAGAACCTATTTTTTACTGATTTGTTTTCTGTTCAGTTATCTGTATTTGTTTATTTTTTTCCTTTTTGTTTCTACTATCGTCTAATTCCTGATAGTCTAAATGGTTTAACTGATGTGCATAAAAATGTATTACCGCTTTAGTAACTCCTTGGTTAAGCCCCGATTAATATTGGTAAATATATATATATTCAGTGGGTATAAAAATGATCTCTATAAGGGCTCGTTCACATTTGACTTTATTTCTAACTCTTGCCAAATGCCCCTATAGCATTTAACAAGCATTAGACAGGCGTTTGTGAAGCGTTTTTAACACTCCGCAAACGCTCCCAAAACTCCCTATGAGCGGTTTTGAGACGGTTGATAGGTGCTTGCCAAGCGTTAAAGCCGCACCACAAATGCCTATAATAAATTTTAAGTGGTATTAACGATCCGCAAATGCCTCGCAACCGTGTCGCAACCGCACCGCAAACGCCGGCCAGGCATTTGCGGAGTGGCACCATAGACTTGAATGGGAGGCTTCAACTCCACCTGACTCGACCAGAGGCGTCTGTTTTGCTGCGACGCAATGCTAAAGCTTCCCTGTGAACAGCACTGTGTGCTGCCATGTGCAGAATTTTCAGAGGTGTTTGAGAAGCGTTAAAAACGCTTCCCAAATGCCTGTTTGATGCCTGCTGACAGAGCTAGTGTGAACGTAGCCTTAATGTCAATGGCTTGAATCATCTGGCCAAACGTGCAAACATGTGGAAAGATAAATGTGATTATACTCTGTGTTCAAAAGACTCCTTTTGTAGATGCGGCCCCTCCTAAATGCTCACACAAAAAGTTTCCACATGTTTATACTGCCAATGCCTCTGACAAAAAAGAGGCGTACTCACTGCTACTAGAGATACACTAAACTTTGTTCTTCCTAAAAATATCTCAGAGCCTGAAGGCCAGTACCTGATTCTTATATGTACTATAGATAATATAGATTACACTATTGTAAATTCATATGCACCTAATACTCATCAAAAAAGATACTTTACCAAGCTCTTCAAACTATTCTCCAAAAATCATTCTAGTTCCCTTATACTATGCAGTGACTTCAACCTCCTTGTTGACAAAAACCTAGACTCAACAAAATCTCAAAAAAGACTACCCTAACCCTATACCCCTTTCTAATAAATGAAGATGTCTATGATGTTTGGAGGTGTCAACATGCAGCTAAAAGAGATTATACCTTTTTTTTCGGCAAGACACCAATCTTAGTCAAGAATTGACCTTATATTGGTAGATAAATGGCTACTGCAAAATGATACCACATCAACCATAGGCAATATAACGTGATCAGACCACGCGCCGGTTTCAGTTACTATTTCGGATAACCACTTATTGAAACCACACAACCTCTGGCATGTAAATTTGTCCATTATAAAAATCCCCAACAATAACTTGATACTTGAAAAATATTTTGAGGAGTTCTTCCATATAAATTCGCAATCTGTATCAAACTTTAGCACCCTTTGGTGCGCTCACAAAGCATATATACATGGTATAACACTGTTCAACAGGTAAAAAGTTTTGGGCATACAATTAGCTAATCTTACATAATTTTGGGGTGCTGAAAACGAAAATGACCCTAAAAAATGTTGATTGGCTCTAGTTTCCATGATATATTCACCCATCTAATGACGTAAGCCATTCAAAATTATGATGCAACTTCAGCTGCATATTGCACAATTGATACTGGTGACCAATAGAAAATTGCATGTATACTGAGATGATGCAATATTAGCCTTTAATTGCATCACTTCACTGCATAAAAGCTGCAGTATCTGTAGCTGATTGTAGTTCGACAGCGTCTTTACATTTCGTTTTATGCTTATATAGGCTACTCAGTAATGCCTCGAACTTGTGTGAATAAAGCAGATAATTTCTGCTATATCTGCGGTGAAATAACTTTTATCTCACAAAAAAGGAGGATAACAGGAATGATTAAGAAAGCCTACAACTTGTATTTTGGCTGCAAGATAGGAGACCAGGACAAGAGCTGGTCACCACATATATGCTGCAATTCTTGTGGGACGGCACTGGAGCAATGGTTGAATGGAAAAAAGGCATCTATGCCTTTCGCTGTGCCAATGATTTGGAGAGAGCCAACAGATCATGTTAGTAATTGTTACTTTTGTATGGTGCCTCCAATTGTAAAAGGGCTAAATAAGAAGAAAAAGTTATCTGTGCACTATCCAAATATTCCATCGGCAATACGTCCAGTTCCTCATGGAGAGGGGCTACCAATTCCTAAAGCACCAGAATCCTTTGTGGTTGAGTCAAGTGAGGAAGAACCTGAAGCGTGTAGTCACGTGCAGTTGTAAGAGATAGCCCTTTCCTCGAATACAAGAGAAAAGCCAAGAGAAGCAAAACCGACACAAACTGAAGACAAAACTAGTGAGAATCCTAAGTATTAAAATGATTCAACTTAGCTTATGGCTATAATTTTTCTTGGTAATCCTATGCAATATATTATGCCATTTAGGCTTTGTTATGTAGTCAATATCACTTGCTTTATATTTGTGGAAAGACATCTATCTATATAATTATTGTGCATTATGTAGTCATTACGCCTATAGTAGAAAACTTTCCGTTTACAGAAAAACTAGAGCCAATTGACAAATTTCATTGTTATATTTGAACTCAGAATGTGAAATTCATTAAGAAATGGATCCTTTTGTTTCCAAAACTGGCAAAAAATAAAAATTTGTTGAACAGTGTAATTTTACAAATGTGCGCTAAAGCTAAAAAGCAAAGAAATAAACAGCTTAATGACTTACTACAGGATATTAGCAAACTAGAAATGCAAAATAAAGCTCAAATCGATCAAACCACCTTGAATACACTCTCCAGACTAAGGAATGAATTACGCTCCTTACTAATGTACCAAATTGATAGAAGTACGCAAAGATTACAACTCAACTACTACTCTAATGGAAGCAAAGCAGGGAAATACCTAGCGAATAAAATGAAATCCCTACATACTAGAACAAAAATACGGTATCTTATCAACCCAATAAGATAAAATTAAAATCACTAATTCTCACGAAATAGCAAATTAATTTGCTAGTTACTATGGTTCGCTTTATAACCTAAATGAAGACAAATCCACTCTCCAACCATCTATGGAAAACATACAAGCATTTTTATCACAAATTCGCTTAGCCACTCTTTTGAAATCACAACTAAGTATCTTAAACTCCCCATCGCAATAAATGAAATAAACTGAACAATAGAAAAACTACCTAATGGCAAAAGTCTGGGAACAGATGGATTTTCCAGCGAATACTATAAAATTTTCAAAAATACCCTGACTCCTCATCTAAACCAACTATACACTGACACATTTTCTTCCACATCATTACCTTCCAAAATGCTACAAGCATTAATTGTAACAATCCCCAAATCAGGTAAAGATCCAGATAACCCACAAAAT